ATTGTTTAGTTTTAAACTGCTCTAGTGCAGTTATTTGAAAACGTGTTTCGGAGCATATCTATATCCAACATTTCTAACTATTTCTTTTGATTAATGAAACAATTTTTTTTGTGTGATTTTTGAAGATTTGTTTAAAGTATGTTTGATACTTTAAAAGCTACTTAAATTGATTATTGCAGGTCAATAGGAAATATTGTTTGCATTTAACCTAATTTTTTCGTTGTTTTCGTAGCAAAATAACTGTTACGACCATTTTTTTACTGTTAGTGTTATAAGGCCTGAACTTTTAATGTTTCGTATTTAAGAGACCAAAAAATAGCGTTTAGTATTTTAAAGACACCCCGATTCAGACCTCCTTATACATGTAGCATTATTGGTGTGAGCATAATTTTCCTATTTGTAATTTTGGTCTGTGCCATGAAAAAAATTCACAATTATTTTTATTTTAAATCATATTACTTTTTAGTATAGGATGTCGCGTGACCTTTAGTACAATTTGGAGTTAATAGTCACGAGTTATGTTTGAAAAGTTCTTCGTAATTGCAATTGCACGATCCCGATAGGGCCAGTGCAATTTGAGAACTTTCAAAACATTTCGAGTTGGTTGAGGGGTTGTGCGATCTTTTTGTTTATAGTACATTCAGTGAAATAAACTTTTATAAGGAGTGACAATTAACGCTGTAATTAACAATTATTATTAGGAAATTGCACGAACTTGAGTGCAATTTGGAATCTGAATAGTCACGAGTAATGTTTTTCGCAATTGCACGAGCTGTAATTTTACTCCTCTCGACCAATGAAAATGTAATATTTTGTTGAATGTACTATAAAAAAGTTCTTGCCATTCGGTTTACACTCCAAACTACGACAGGGAAAAGGGTCTTCTTCGACTTTTTCCTGCTCAAAATTTATCGGGCTCGTGCAAATAAGAACGATTGAATTCCTCGTGACTATTAAACTGCACAACAAGATTCGCCGCAATTGCATAACTTTTTACGGTTTAGAAAATCATATTGTTAAAAGAGACTCTAATAAGGTTTGATGCAGGTGGAGGTTGGGATGATTTGGTTGGCTGCCAATAAGTTTTCAGGGTTCATAAATATGCTAAAAATTATAAAGTAACTAAAGTAAAAGAACAGAACGACTGAGTACATCAATTTGAAAAACAACTAAAGCAACACTCATCTAATAGAGGTTTCATTTTCGGCAGCCCTAAACATTTAAACAATTTAATATTTTTAATTTAACTTTTGGGCTGGTCGCCCTCCTTTGTATAAAGTCCTCGATCCGCTCCCGCAAAGTGTTATTTTCTTTAATTTGTTCTTATTATATTTTCTTCTTTTTCAGTGATTCTCACCAATTCCATGACTTCCATTTTTCGTTATTGACTGACTACAAAATTTTTACAATAATTACAGCACTTAGGGCAATAAATTGTCAATGGCAAAATTGCGCTTAATTTTGTTTATAAATAGACCTTGCGACAGTCCGTTTTCAAAGAGTCGGTATTAATTATGCATCGGTCACTATTGAAACAAGGCCCCATACCTCCCCTTCCCCATCTTTCTGGGCCAAACCAGAGAATTAACATTTTAACTGCATTTTCCGAGCATTTCCATGCCCCGTAATAGAAGCCAAAAAGGTACCTAAACGAATATGTTTTTTTGTTTTAATATTTAGTTGTTAATTTGCCGTCTCTCTCGGGTTGTCCCGTTGTGCCACTATAATGTATTAATTCCACAGGGGTAGGGGAGACAGTGTTTCGTTGA